CGTCGATCCTGACGAAATTGGGGGGTCAAGTGGTGAACAGAATGAACCTGTCAATTTCGCAGGACGGACCGAAGTCAGTCCTAATTATCAAACTGGGCTTCAGATACTGGGACTCGCAGCAGCAGTACAGCACAATTCTACAGAAGTCGCAAAACCGAAAACTGCCCGACAGGCCCTTTCAGGACCACATCGCGAAAAATGGCGTGAAGCCATGGATCGTGAACTGGCTGCCCTGGAAAAACGGGAGACTTGGGATCTCATACCCATCGAAAAAGCTGCAAATAAAAATATTCTTACCGGAAAATGGGTCTTCAGGGTGAAGACGAAATCTGACGGCTCTTATGAAAAACATAAGGCAAGGTGGGTTGTTCGCGGTTTTGACCAAACTCATGGGGTAGACTACACGCTAACTTTTGCCCCGGTCAGCCGACACACAAGTGTTCGTCTTGTCATCTGCGAAGCAGCTGCGAAGAATTTTCCGCTTCGACAAATTGACGTTTCCAACGCGTTTCTATACGCTGACGTCGATGCTGAAATCTACGTCGAATATCCGCATACCTATCCGACAAATCCGCCAAGTGTCTGCAAGCTCAAGAAGTCACTGTACGGCATCAAACAAGCACCGCGACTGTGGCAGCAGCATCTGAACAGGAAACTGATAGAAGTTGGGTTCCGACAACTGCCGCATGATCCCGGAATGTATCGACTAGACGACAAGGGGAGCTACGCGCTACTCGTGGCATACGTGGATGATATTCTCTACGTCAGTTCTTCAATTTCCTTGGGTGATCGCATCGAAGCAGATCTGAAGAAATCCCTTGATTTAACCGTCTCCACCGAAGTAACTCAATTTCTTGGGTTAAACATTTCGCGAACCTCCTCCGCCTTCCACCTCACAGCATCAAAATATGCTGAGTCACTCGCTAAGCGTTTCAAGATTTCTACAGATTACGTCGCTACACCGTATCGGTCTACACCCACCGGGCACATCCTAAACAACACCAAACTTTCGGCAGCTGGTCTACAACTGTACCAGAAGCAACTTGGGTGTCTTCTCTTCGCAGCAGTCACGTGCCGTCCCGACCTTGCTTACGTCGCAAGCTATCTCGCACAATTTTTACGCTGCCCAAAAGAAGAACATCACCTCGATCTTCAGCGCGCTCTACACTACTTTGTCGCAACACCAACAGTCGGGCTGATTTTCAACACAGGAAAACCAACTGACAAAATGTACCTCAGCGGATATGTTGACGCAGACCACGCTGGTGACACGTCAGATCGTCGGTCACGAACAGGCTACATTTTTCGTCTCGAGCCAATTGGCCCGATCTCGTGGAACTCATCGAAACAAGAACTCGTGTCACTTTCCTCGGCTGAAGCAGAATTCATTGCCGCGTGTGCTGCAACCCGAGAAGGATTATACTTACAGGAACTGCTTGACGAAGCAAAGTTCATCACGCCGAATCAGTTTACGTTGCAGTGCGACAACCAGAGTGCGATTACCATCGCCAACAAACCCGGCTTCGTCAATCGCACGAAACACATTTTACTGCGTTACTTCTTCGTCAAAGATGCGATCGACAAGGGGAGAATGCGCCTTGTCTACTGCCCCAGTAATGACATGGCAGCTGACTCACTTACCAAGAAGCTGACACGACAGAAATTCCACCACTGCAACCAGCTCAGCGGTATTTCTGAGACAACCGGGTAACTACACCGAACTCCTAGAAGTGAAGGGGAGTGTTGAGATAATATCGGGACTTAAGCACTTCAAGGAAATTCGTGTAGTACAGTAAAGTACCGATAGGCTGACGTTAGCAAAGCGCTACGCGCCCTAGGATGACGTCAGCACGTAGCTATAGGCCTCGCGAATAGTCACGTACCGTTTCAGAACAGGAATAGCGAGAATAGCACAGTACAATAGGCGAAAAGGTACTTTAGTCTAGCTATGTATTCTGTATGCTTGTCATTTTATAATATATCTGATTTCAGAGACATTGATCCTGAAACATATCACTACATGGGCTTTCACTAGTCCAGATAAAGCCTCCTTAACTGGCTTTAATTCATACAAGACTTCCGCTACGACAGGAAGCTACCATCCTAAGTAATACGATCCTATTCAATCATTTCAAATTCTAACATGTAGAAACCCTGATTGACAGTGTTCCTAAAAGAAAATGGCTGAAATATCAGTGTTGCCTTTGAAAAAAGGCTGATCCATCAGTGTTCAATAATATAAAAGGCTGTTATTATTAGAAATCTCTATTTTAAATACTAAGTCAGTAGCAGCCTTCTGAAACATTGCTAAGCTAACATGCCTCATGAATCATCACCAGCCGTGCTATCATCACTGCCCTTAGCCTTTGGTTCTTCTCTCTCCTCCTCGGCTTGGGACACCAGTACGTGACATTGCTCTACCGCAGCACACACCCCGGCTTCACTTCTGCTTGCGACACATACACGTTGAAGCTGCAGGGGCAAGGCTTGGGGGAGGAACCAGATTGACAGGCAGGGTGAGGCAGGGAAAGAGGAGGGAAGACTAGTACGGTTGGGGGGGAGACGACCGAGGGAGAGAGGGAGTGGATGGAGTGCAGGGTAAAGGGAGCGGGGGAATGGACGGGTCATGCGCGGGTCATGCGCGGGTCATGCCGTCGCGCAGCACGACGCTCTGCGCGCTGCCCGCGGCGCAGATGGACTTTCAACCGCGATTCGTGCTGGCGACGAGGCAGCCTTCGGTCGCCGCCATTAGCACGAAAAACTACACGTCGTCGAGTCGTAGCGGGCCTACGACGCCGACGGGAATTGCCACGTGGCTGACGACCATCTCGCATGCGCTGCGGATTGCGTCGAACGGGAGCGATGTGTTCGGCGAGACAAGAGGACGTTTGGCGGCGCTCGCGATGGGTTCGATTCCCGACAGCCCGCCGTTTCTAGTGCTGATGGCGCCATGTATTAGTGCAGACGAGAAAACTCGAGAGAAATCGGGCTGAGAGGGAGGGAGAGAGAAACAGGAGGAAAAGAAACAAGAGAGAGTGGATTGGAGGGAATGGGAGCATCCGTGCTTGCCAGCACAGCCAACGGTGCAGGAACCCTCGCAGCCCTCCAGCACCATATGGTTGCCACATTCTGATTAGCCAACACTTCATGCTACAGGGAAACTGCCCAATGGAGTGCTGGCACCGCAGGAGTCTAAGATTCCCTGTAATTGCGGGCAAATCCACACGGAACGGAACAAGTAAGAATTGCTTTCCGTGTTAGTTTTGTTACAACGCTGTGGAATCAGTGTACTTGGGGAAAAAAGTCTGAAATTTCAGTGTGGCCTAACAAAAAAGGCTGAAAGATCAGTCCCACAGAAATCTCAACACTGATTTTTCAGTGTAGGTAAAAAAAGGACAGCCAAAATCAGGAATTTCAGGGTTTTTTTCCTGATATCTGAGGCCCGAGGAGTCCTCGACACTACTGCATGCATGCTCCTCATCGGTTAATGTATCAGAACAAAATATCGTAAGGGAATTAGTGATCCAGAATGTGCAGTGCAAGATCTCTAATGTACTGTATTTGGGTGCCCTTGCGATTGGTTGGTTCATTACGGTGGAATCATGCCAGTGTTTTCACGAGACTCTGGTGCTATAAGCATCATGCCTGTGTTTTGTGGTGCTTTAAGCTACAGTACAGTACAGTATTCCTGCATCGGCTTCACGAGACTCTGCACCGCATTCGAGGGGAAAATATGCCACTCGTAATCAACAAGGGTCTCAATAATATGTTTGGTAAAAAAATAACGGGTACGGTCACTGCAAATGGTGTTTTCACGTGTTTGAGAAAACGTTTCACGGAATCAGTCACAATCAACTCGGAAAAAATAATGCGAATGGTCACAGATGAAACTCCCGCCCAAAAAAAGATAATACCCAAAACGAACCTGGATGCATTTTCGGATGAATCAACCCTAAACACAACTCGCCAGGTATTTAGGGTTGATCCGTTCCCAAACCGCATCCGATTCCGATTGGGTTTTAGTATTTTTAGAAATCAGCTAATTGGTTGGGCGCGAGCGGGATTTTTGTAGAGTTTCAAGAAATTTTGGCGGGAGTTACATGTGTGACCATTCGCGTGATTTTCACCTGTTGTTAGTGACTGAATCCGTGACCCCACTTACCAAACCCGTCAGCAAACCCGATACAGTGACCGTACGCATTAATTTTTTACCATTCACGTTATCGAGTCCCATGTTGGTTACTTGTGACATATTTTCCCCGCATTCGAGTCCATCTTCTTTTTGCAGACATGTACATTGAATTGAATTGCAATTTTCACGATATAAACAGAACTCACTCTCTACCGTAGCAATTACACGTGGCATGGTGCCCTTGTGGGTTCTAGCTGCTCCATTCTTCACCCTATATATCCATTAGAGGCTCAAATGCATGGTGATGACAGCAGCAGCCGTCACTCTTTTCCCATCCTGAACGCTGCTGGCAAGCCTCATGCAATCCTGAGGGCACATGATGGCCCACTCTCAGGGCTATCTGCTCATGTGCCCTAGGGATTGCACAAGCTCTGCTGCTTCCGTTGCTGCTTCTGCTGTTGCTGCTCCTGCTGTTGCTGCTGCTGTTGTTGCTACTGTTGCTGCTGTCAGCATTGCAGCTTCTATGGGTTACTGCCCAAGCTAAATGACTAGTACCGTAACCCTCAGCACCCTGCTCCGCTGCACTATATCGATAAGGCGCTGTGTCACTGTCAGCTTCACCCGCGACTTCATGCCTTCCGCTGTGCTGGCTTCTTCAACCCGAACCCCCCCTTCCCCGAAGCGCCTCCTTGTGCAGAAACAGCGCACCCAGCTTCGAGCTCTTCCGCGCCTTTCCTCCCCCCCTCTTCACGCGGCCTTCCGCTGCGCCGGCTTCTTCAACCCAAACCCCCCCTTCCCCGAAGCGCCTCCTTGTGCAGAAACAGCGCACCCAGCTTCGAGCTCTTCCCCGCCTTTCCTCCCCCTCTCTTCACGCGGCCTTCCGCTGCGCCGGCTTCTTCAATCCGAACCCCCCCTTCCCCGCACCAAACCCACTTTTCTTCCCCCCAAGCGCCTCCTTGTGCAAAAACATCGCACCCAGCTTCGAGCTCTTCCCGGCCTTTCCTTTCGCCCCCTCCCCCTCCTCCGCACCCTCTTCCCCCCCATGGAATTTCCCTTTGTTGCTCCGAATCCGTGCAGCTTCGTGCTGGAAAACCACAAGCACGTCGCGTGTCGCCGCTTTGAGCAGCGCGTGCACGCAGCGTCGGAACATCGGGGGCGGCGCCAGCGACGGCTCCACCACCTGATGCAGCACCAGCCGCGATGCCACGCGCACAGGACCGTCCCCACCTAACCCGTCGCGCATGCCGCTGCCGCTGACGCTCGCAGCGGCAGGGTCTGGTGCTACGCGGGTAGGGAAGCGGTCCGGGCTGCTGCTGGCGCTGCCAGACGAATCACTGCCGGAAGGATCCGAATCGGACTCTGACTCGCTGTCGGAGGAGCTGCCGAGAAACATGACATCTAAGAGCGGCGATTGCGGAGCAAACTCCAAGGAGGCGTTGGAAAAGGGCTCCTCGGTTGGGGCGGACGATGGGGGCGACGACGGGGCAGGGGCTGACGGGGAGGGGGGAAACGGCGTCGTTTTGGCGTAAGCAGCGGAGGCGGCAGAGGTGGCAGAGGTGGCGGAAGCGGGAACAAGCAGCGGCTCGACCTGCCAGTAGCCCTCGAATTTACGCATGAAGCCGGGGCGCGACAGGCAGAAGGTCACCCTGCGGTTGGGGCGGTCGTGCACGTTGCGCAGGTGCGCGTCGAACGTGCCTGTAAAGAAGGGCACCTTGAGCGCGAACACTATGTCCAACTCGACCACTCTCACCCCGTTACAGTCACTCACGACGCGCTCGTTCTTGACTGACTTTATGAACGTGAACACGCGGCGGTTGTGCGGATCGCACAGGATAGAGAAAACAGTGTCTGGGGGAAGCGCGACCGTCGCGACGCCGTCTAGCTGGCCGCGGCCGTGGTCCCCAACGGTAACTGTCATGGAAGGCGGCTCGTCCGTCCAGTGCGAGTCGTCGAACCACGCCGCGAGCTGAGAGGTAATCGCCTCCTCCCAGGGCTCTGACGCGGTCGGGATACTAGTGGCTGACGTGTTCATGGCGGCTGAGGTGGCGTTGATAGCGGGTGACGTGGCGGACGGATATTCAAACGGATTGCGGACGGCAGGTGTTGAACAAGCTGTAGCTCTTAAATCTGAAACGCACGGCTCGAATAAATTTGTTTAGGAGGCAAGAACTGCGCTTGTACGTACTCGGTGCTATCTGCTGGCTTTGCTGATGTGACTTTGCTCGCGCAGTATGCTGGAATTTGTACATACGCACCAGCGCAGACGAGCACAAGCGACAAGGATATGGGCTGCACGGAATGAGGCTGGCGCTTCAATAGCTGGACGGATCGCGCACCGGGCGGTTCTAAGGCTCGCGTCGCGAGCGACGCTAGAGGCCATCGGATGAAACGGTACGCGGTGTGAGTGTGACGTGATGCCAGAGAGAAAGAACAAATGAACCCGTCGAATCGAAACTACTGCTACTAGCCGACCTACTAGACCCTGGTTCGTTCTCGGTTAGGTTAGGTCAGCGACGACACTCGGACGTAGGGCTAGCTGCGCGAAGATCGCACGGGAAGCTGCGATTGGCGGTACGGACGGTCCGTTGGAAAATGGATGGCTGGGAGTTGTCGAATCGAGTCCGGTGAAATCGCGTGACGTGGCGCGTTGTGCAGATGGGAAGGGTCATAAATCACCTGGTTGTGATTGTGAACCAGGAGATTGGCGTACGGTGCGCTGTTGGATGATTTGAAACGCGTGTACCGCGGCTTGCTTCCCCAGCCAAGAACTTTCAGACGGGTGGAGCTCACAGCCAATCGAAGGACAGTACGTGATTGAGGTGTGAGATGGTTGAGTGAAATTCGAACCAGCTCACACCGCAATCGAACGGTTAGTATTGCTGCTTCATGGCTGGTTCCGATTGGCCAAGGCGGCCAGGTGGTGGTATGGTGGGGTGAGCAGCTGACTTGGTCCCCGAACCGAACTTTCAAGTCCTACCCTAGCTTCCATTTTTGGAGACAACACTTTTGTGATGTGGGAATCGGGTTCGTGTCTGGTCTGGTTCTGGTCCGAGGTTTGGTCTGCCGTGAGTGACGCGACGCGACTCATGCACGGTCTGACACTTCGCCAGACCAACACCATGACACAGACCTCAGGGCGATGTGCATGCAACGTCGAACCCACCGATGGGTGACACTGACCATTCAAGCACATTTGTGCACTTCTCTGCCAGGCGAAACGGTGAAGTGGAGTCCCACGACAAGCAAGTGGGCATGGTAAATGTGGGAGGAAGGAGTCCAGGGTGAACTGCTCAATCATTAGTTTGTGCATTGTAAAGATATGTTTGGGTGCTTCAGATAAATTTTGGTAGTGGTTAGGCACCAAGGTAATCCTGAAAGAACATAAGGAAAAATAAATTAACAAGAAAGCTGAGCCTGTTCAACCCTAAATGTCCCACCGTTGCAGACTCTCTGCTCGAAAGCATGGTGCTGACAACACCAGGGGACAACAGAGCATTCGCTGCAGCTCCATACTACACCCATCATTGGCAACTGCTGCTGTCAGCACCATGCATAAGAGCCACGCCTTCATCACTGCCCGTACCCCATGAGTCCCATGCACCGCAGTGCAACCATACTCTTAAAAACTTAGTGGGCTGCGTCCCACTCTTACTAAGTTGCACTGCACTGCATCGGAGGGAACCGTACCGCACCGTACTGAGACTGTACTGTGCTGTACTATGTTTGCGCTGTAATGCAGAAACGTCAGATGAGCCCACCGGATCCTCACGCGGCCTTCCGCTGCGCCCGTCCCTTCAACCCGAAAACCCCCTTCCCCGCGCCGAACACACTTTTCCTCCCCCCAAGCGCCTCCTTGTGCAGAAACATCGCACCCAGCTTCGAGCTCTTCCCCGCCTTTCCTTTCCCCCCTTCTCCATCTTCCGCTTCTTCCTTCCCCTTGTTGCGACGGATCCACGCGGCTTCCTCCTGGAAAAATGCCAGCACATCGCGCGTCGACTCGCGGAGCAGGGCGCGCAGGCAGCGCTTGAAAATGTTCGGCGGCGCGATGGGCGGCAGCACGAACTGATGCAGCACCAGTCGCGACGCCACGCGGTAACCGCTGCCGCTGCTTGCGGCAAAAGCTCCAACAAGATCCGCAGACCAATCGCGATCACCTGGGCCGCCGCAGACTTCGGAGAGCGGCGATTGCGGGGACGAGCCGAAGGTGCCGACGGGGGGGGAGGGAGCGGAGGAAGTGGGGGAAGAAGGGCGGGAGGGAGAGGAGGGCGAGGAAAAGGGGGAGGAAGAGGGGGCAACGGAAGCCGGGACGAGGTGCGACTCGACCTGCCAGTAGCCTTCGAACTTGCGCATGAAGCCGTTGCGCGTTTGTGTGAACGTGACCCTGCGCTTCGGGCGATCGTAGACAAAGAGCAGGTGCGAGTCGAACGTTCCTGTAAAGGGGGGCAGTCTGAAGGCGAATGTTAGGTCCATTTCGACCACCTTCACCCCGTTACAGTCACTCACGACGCGCTCGTTCTTCGCCGCCTTGACATTCCTATACACTCGGCGGTTGTGCGCGTTGCACAGCATAGAAAATACGGCGTCGGGCGGAAGCGCGACGATCGCGTCTCCGTCAAGATTAAGACCGACGCCCTTGTCGCCGGGGACGACGTCCATTGACGGAACCTCGTCGACAAAGTCCGGGTCATCGAACCACGTGGCGAGCTGAGCGCGCATGGCCTCCTCCCAAGGCTCCGACGTGGCATTGGTGCTATTCAAGGCGCTGATTGTGGCTGACATGGAGTCCGTGGTATCGTCAAAATCGAGGGGCGAAGGCGGCTGGAGAGAAAGAAGGCCGGAAGTCATGGCGGACGTTGCTAGCTCGTGTACGGGTTGTGGGACGTGGAAGTCAGTAGTAGGATCGATCAGCGATGAAAGTGAAGGGCACTCCATAGGCGCCGGTCGGCGAGATGACACGAGCGAGATGGAGTACGGAGCTGCGCGTGTTGCGAAGTGAAGAACTTGCACAGCTGGGGGCGGAAGCTTTTGGTAGGGGAAAAAGCGCTTCGCTATTACGCTGCGTAGAGAACGTTGGTCTTGCTCTGCGGCGGGCGTTGACGATAGTTGAAGCACGGAGATGAGGGCGATGGGTATCGCATGGAGCAGAGAAGGCCAACGGCAGAGCAGGCCAACAGCAGAGCAATGAAAGCAACGAGTTGGTTGATGGAGTAAATATATGCGCTGCTTGACCACAACGTTTGGAATGTTTTGAACATGTGCGTTATGTAGTGTGAGCGTTGGAAGGGCGTTGAAAGTGAGCGGACCCAATCACACGCGTTACACACCATCTGTGGTTCGTGACTTTCTAGGTCGGCGGGCTAGACCGAACCTGTCATTGTTCCACAAGGCTCGGCTCGACACCGAGGGCCGCGCTACTCATTAGGTCGGCGGACACGACTCGAGCCACTAAGAATCAAGTGGTGCGTGTGTATGCATGTACAGACCTGGATGCTTGGCTAGGTGCATGAATGATTGAGTTGGGGGTACTCGTGGGAGGAAACTGTGCTTTGATGGATGAGGTGGAGCGTGATCGATGCGGTAGAAATGAATTACGCGACTCGAGAGTGTAATTGGTTTCCCAGCGAATTGCTGCGGTGCATTTGATTCTAAATGAATGGACGAGAAGTACCGGTAAGTGGATGTGGAGCAAAACTCGTGGAGGTTTGACGCGTGGAGCTGGTGTTGCGGGATTGGTTGAGGTTTCGTAGGTGTGATGTCATGTGACTGACGGACCCGCGCCGCGAGTGAGGGAAAGAACACTTGGCTGTGGCTGTGCTGTGATTGTGACTCGGAAAACGGTGTCAGCCAGAGGACCACTCTGAGATAGACCTGCGAAGGTACATCAGTCGGTGCCACAAGAGTCGTTCGTCGTGACACTCGTAAAAGCTTCAGGTGAAATGTTCAGCACGATTTTCCTTGCATCTCTGTTATCTACACGCGGCAGATAAATACTTATATATGTTAACATGTGGTAGCAATAATGCATGCCCCCTGATTCTTGGGCAGAGGAAAGTTGTCCCTTGACTCTTGGCCCACTGTGTCGCTCCCGCCCACCCACGCCACCACACCTCCCAGGTGGAAGCACAGACGAGGCCATTTCTGCCCGTACATCCAAAACACGCCACGGTACACACTGGACTCCAAACCCAGAATTCGAGAACTCGGACAATCTGGAAGTGCACTGATGTGAAGTTGTGAAGGACAGTAGGGAATGATGTCAGTGTGTAAAATATACTGGGCCATTGTGGAAGAGTTGGGAGGAAAACAGCCACGCAACCCAGCCTTCTCGCCGAATCGTGTGGAAAGTGTGTCTGATCGCAATTGGCCTTGTCGACAGAGGCCCGCGCCAAAAAATCCAGAGAATGGAAGGGTGTCCAGAAACGAGGGCAGGGGGCTCTGTGAAAACCTGGCTCGCCAGAAGCGTGTCACTTGTGTCCACAAGTTTGGGGCCACATCCGATGCTGACGGATTGAAAGAAGCTTCGGTACAATTTCTTGCCCCGCCAAGGAGATTGTCTCCTCCTCACTTCGCTTCACTGTCAACACTGTAGTCAATCTGGCAACGAGTGAAGTACAGAACAGAACAGTCCGCCACACACACCACAGCTCTACTGGCTGGGATTGGGGGGAGAACGAAGGGGCACTGCTCTGCTGCGCTCCACGAAAGTGTGACCGTCAGAATGAACCGTCGTCAGCCACAAACACGAGGTCTGCTTTATTAGAATTGGATCAAGAGACTTATAATGTCAGAAGCGACACGTGTAACCAAAAGAGCTAGGGTTTTCAGGCGGGAGCATTATTGTTCAAACTAGGGACTCACTGTTACGAGTGCAATTGAGTGAGCGAGCGAGGAGACAAGATACAATGAGCGAAGGATTGAGCGAAGAATATATAGCGAAGCTACGGTGGTAACGGTAACGTGTGGAAAATGGGGTGCGCGACGGGCCTGGTGCCGAGGTTGGGGGACTGTCGATGCAGAGGTCCGGAGCGCGGGTTACCAACCGAACCGTGAGGTTGGATCGCATCGTGAACAGTGGCAGGAATGGTGTCGAGACGAATGTCGCGAGTGATAACGGAATATTGTGGGGTGCTGTTGGCGGGAACAGTGGTGTACCCGCTGAGCAGGGACGCGAAGTAAGGAAAAGGAATTTTCCTTACACCCACAAACAGTTCACAACAACCCATGTACATCCTTGTCCGCGTAAAAACAATAAACCCTCTAAGGAATGGCATCAACCCTAAACACATTGTGGCATAGTGTTTAGGGTTGATGCCCTTATATAAATTCAACCCGAGAGAGATTTAGTTGTTTCTGCCCAGGTAATAAAATATACCCTCTAGGGAATGGCATCAACCGAGCATAACAATGACGATGGGAGCCTGAGGGGGCTGAGGGGGCTGCCGGACATGGGAGAACTGTGGAGGCACAGACTACAACTGCGCCCCCAAAGGGGTCAGCCAGAGAGACCGGGACAGGTTTAGTGAGCTATGTGACTGTGGTGCGGACGCGGAAGAAGCAGCGAGTCGCGCCTGAGTCAAGTGTGAAGGTATGCAAGCCTCTACAGAAACCGCACATGTGCTACCAGGCTCACAGGCACCTAGACTAGTAGCCTCTGCACTACCACGGATACGTCGCTGAGAAACCCACTCGCAAAGCTGCTGCGGTGAGAGGGTCTCCTGCTGACGCTTCTGCCGCTGCTGTCCAGTACCTCCAGCACTATAACCTACACCACCAAGACGGCCTCGCTGAATAACCCATTCACGAAGCTGCTGTGGTGAGAGAGTCTCCTGGCGACGCTGCTGCCGCTGCTGTCCAATACCTCCAGCACGAGTGAAGTCTAAAGCTCTAGGACAAGAGCGCCTTCACCGAATGACCCACTCTCGAAGTTGCTGCGGCGATAGAGTCTCCGGCTGACGCTGCTGCTGCTGTCCTCCCCCAGACGCTGCTATGACTATGATAGTGGGCATGACAGGCAGTGGCAGTCAGTAGTAGCGGCGCAAGGGCGTCAGTAGTGACTGCTGTAGCTGCAGCTGTAGCAGTAGCGGTGGTCGTTGTTGCGACTGGTAGCTGTGGCTACACCAGCAGTAGCGACTGCTGGAGTGGATGTGGAGGCCAGTAGGGTGCGTGGACAGCAGAGCACTGGCTAGCAGCAGGGCACGGGCAGCGCAGGCATGTGGGCGGCAGGTCAGCACGGGCTGCAGGGCAGGGTGGCGCGCGGACGGCAGGGCAGGGCAGCGCGCGGGCTGCAGGGTGGCGCGCAAGCAGAGCGCGCGGGCTGCAGGGCTGCCGAGCGCGGGCTGCACGGCGCACAGGCTGCAGAGCGGCGTGCGGGCTGCAGGGTTGCGTGGGCAGGGCGGCGCGCGGGCTGCAGGGCGTGCGGGCAGCAGGGAAGGGCAGCGCGCAGGCTGTAGGGCAGGGCGGCGCGCGGGCTGCAGGGCAGGGCGTGCGTAGGCAGCAGAGCGCGCGGGCTGCAGGGCGACGCGGGCAGCAGGGCGTGCGGGCTGCAGGGTGACGCGGGCAACAGGGTGACGCAGGGTGCAGGGCGTGCGAGCTGCAGAGCATTGCTGGCAGCAGGGCGACGCAGGCTGCAGAGCGCACGGGCTGTAGGGCGACGCGATCAGCAGGGCGACGCGGGCTGCAGGGCGTGCGAGCTACAGGGCATCGCGGGCAGCAGGATGACGCGGGCTGCAGGGCGCGCGGGCTGCAGGGCGACGCGAGCAGCAGGGCGACGTGGGCAGCAGGGCGTGCGGGCTGCAGGGCGACGCGGGCAGCAGGGCGACGCGGGCTGCAGGGCAGGGCAGCGCGCATGCTGCAGGGCTGCGCAGGCAGGGCAGCGTGGGCAGGGCAGAGCGCGGGCTGCAGGGCAGGGTAGCGCACGGGCAGCAGGGCGGCGCGCGGGCAGGGCAGGGCAAAAAAAGCGCTGTTCCTACGGTTGGTGGGCCCTAACGGAGCAGTCCTACGGACGAACCAGCTCTGAAACCATGTCAGAATCACTAGGCAGGAATGAATGAACTATGCAAGAGTGAGATACAAGTAGTAAACCCTAACTAGGGTTGTACTCTATACTGAGCACCTCACTGTAGCCTAGCAGAACTAAGAACATATAAATATATTTTGCCAACTATCATATCCACTCAGACGATACTACGGATTGTCGATTTGCGATTACTAGTCGAGGCATGTCACGACTCAAGTGCGCAACGAACCGAGCATAACAATGAGGACTGATCCACATGCTTGCGAAGTGCAAGAGTTTTGCAAAGCATGTGAGTGGAGTCGAAAAACTACACACATTTCACTGATCTACAGGCAATTGGGAGACTTGATATACAATAATTATATTTCGAAATGGACACTTCTACCGCATCCTTAGGACGCCTCATATTTGTCAATTTTGCATGCTATACAATCGACCCTGTTATCAACTCTGAAAGGGCCAAACCTATATCAAAATGCTGTCCCTATTTTTAGGGTTTACAATAGTTCTCCCGGCATGGATACTTCAAATCAGAATAGGGCAAAAGTTATTCGTGTCAGAAGTAGTAGGAGTACGGCCTAGGCTTAGTAGCCTAGGCCACAGTAGGACTAGTAACGAGGAGCCAAGTACGAGCTAGGAATGTGTGTAGGAACAGAATTGAGAAGGAATGGTTGAACTAGCAAGCAGCAGGATACAAATAGCAAACCCTAAGGGGCTGTACTCACTATAGAGTACCCCACTGCAGGCTACACAAACAACATATTCTGACACACCCCCATAGCCAAAGTGGGGTGTAATCAGCACAATGAGCAGTCATAGCAATAGTTCATAATTATCAGCAAAGCTAGAGGCTATCACAGAGGGCAAGTGAGGAGGAGGAGGGACTATGAAAGGAGAGAAGATGGGAGGCGACGAC